TTCGGGTTGTAAGGCTTGGCACCACTTCATTTCTGGTAAACTTATTCCCAGTAGCAACTTAAGTGAAGTAACAAAGGAACGGGCGACCCTCAATTATGCCATTCAGTGCCGCCTATCCATAGATGTTGGTAAAGTTATTCACAACAACATCCTACATACTTTGAGAGGATCGACTACCGGTGGTCTAGGGCACCCTTCATTGATCTATGAGCTTTGCTTAGCGGGTGGTGTCGTCACATACCCGACTGAGGAGGTTGTGCACCCCAAACCGGCTATCACACGAGCGCGTACTTGGAAGTTCTTACGCCGCTCCGAATCCACCAGTGCTCCACCCCCTCCTCGGAGCGACCAGCCGCCCCGTTCACGCCGACAGACACCAGCTAGTGATCCCACATCTGCCCTTGCCGCTCAGCTTCATGACATGCAATTGCAAATGAATTTGATGCAAAACACCTTGTGCGAGCAATTCCATTATCAGCATGAGTTTAATGCGGCTTTGGCTTCGATGTACCCTGATCGAACATTTCCTCAGCCACCTCTCCTACCTGATCACGCTGCAAATCCTATTCCAAATACCCAAGACGACGATGGCGAGGACGACGATTAGTCGTCGTCCGTCAGGTACATCCCCTCCCCATTTTGTTTCTATTTCACATTGAGAACAATGTTTTCGTTAAGTTTGGGGGAGTGTGAATAATTTTGCTTACATTGTTGATTTCCTCGAATGCTTTGTGTGATTTGCTTGTTTGAAAAAAAAATAATAAATAAATAAATTTGTTTCTTTTTGCATGCTTGTGTGTGTTAGATAACCTTGCCGATATTGATATGTGTAATTGAGAACATGCGTTGATTTATGAATTGTGGACGAGTTATCTGTTTGAGTTAGATTTTTGCTTATTCATGTGAAATGGAAATCAATTTTTGCACGTGAGTTGATTGTAGCGTTGTACATGAGGAGGTTGATTCACGCTTATAGGTTGAATTAGAGAACTTAGATGCTAAACCCAAACAACCATTAAATATCACAATACCCTTAACCAAATTCAGGATGTTTGGATGATTGCACTGTTGTAGGAAAACTTGAAGATAAATGTGGATTTCGTGTGTGTTAATGATTGTGTGGACTGTCTGAGACTAATTGGATGAAAATTGGGTGAAAACCTTAAGTTAGAGGTCAATTTTCTAGGATAGGTGTTTAATAAGGGGCATTGCACTAATCACCGTAAAAAAAAAAAAAAAAGATCCCAATGAGGACAACTTTAATAATCTCATTGTAAATCGTCTCTTCGTAGCCTTTATGACTCGAGTGATTAAGCCTGTAAGGGTTTAAAACCTGGTGCCCTAAAGTCATCTGATTTGGGAGTCATCGGCATAAAACTCGCTACAGGGGTCATTTAGAAAGTTTAAGGGAGAGACGTCCACACAAAGAGTGGTTAAAGAATAAAGATATATATGAAAAAAAAAAAAAGAGAAGTTGATTAAGCCCCGAACACTTGTTTTAGAGGATTAGACCTTTGATAAGGGTTAGGTAACTTGGTTGATTCCTAGAGGTTGAAGCAGTCAAAAAATAAAGAGAATCCTCATTTGTTGACATGTGGAACTACAATCAGTAAAATCTAACCAAACTTGAGTGGTGTAAGAAACTAGTATTGAAAATTTAACATTAGGTTACACCCTTGGAAAGAGAAAAGAAAATAAGTTTGGGGGTGTGTGAACCCCACGAGCAAGGTAAGGAAAAATTTGACTTCTAAGGTTGGGAATTGGGTCAACTTATTATTGTACAGCGTTGCACTTGACTCTCCACACACACACCCGTTTTGCATTGAATAAGTGAGAATTTAACTCTTGCATTATAGCTTTGAAGTGGTTCATGGAATCGAAGTTATGTTTTTAATTCTAAGACATGAAGGCAAGTTATCTAGCGAAATGTATTTTTAGTGATTTCGTTTGTCTTGATTGTGCTTGTATGTCCGTTAATTATTCTTATGTGTTTTAGTGTTTGCTCGAGGACTAGCAAATGGTTAAGTTTGGGGGTATTTGATGAGTTTGTTTCACTCATGGTTTTCGCACATTTTTAGCTTGATTAAATACTAGATTTTATGAGTGTAGAACGTTTTTGATGTGTTTGTTAATGTTGTTTTGAAGATAAGGAGAAGCAATGAGAAAAGAAATATTAAAGTGGATGAAGAGGCCAAAAACACGGAATTGGGGCAGAAAGATGGCGCTTAGGCGCTACACTTATAGCGCCTAGGCACTACGAAACGAAGAAAAGATGAAAATTGGACCCGAGAGGCAGCGCCTAGGCACTACAACCATAGCGCCCAGGCGCTACAGCCAGCGCCTAGGCGCTGCGATTGGCGATTTAGGGCGCGTTTTTTTTTGGGCCGTTTTTAAAGCCATAGAAACCCTACTTCAAGAGAAAAACGTGGAGGCACATATAAATACATCCTCCTCATACTTTTGAAGGGTTCTGGACATATTGGAGAGAAAAACAACAAGAAGGGAGATTCAAGGGAGAAATTTAAGAAGATTAACACCAAGAATTGAAGATTGGAAGCACTCATTGGAAGAGGAAGGAGATCTTGGTGCAAGAATTCCATTTTTTCTTCCACATCTTTATTTCAAACTCGGTGATGTATTCTAAGACAATCTCATATTTTTCTTCCATTATTATGAGTAGTTAAATTTCATGTTAGGGCGAACAATGTAATCTTTTGGAACCCTTTATTTCATGCAATTGAGATTCTAGTACTTTTTTATTTCATGTGTTGATTTTAATATTGTTCTTAATACATTTAATTACTTGATCACTAATTAGATGATTTGTGAACATTGATTGCGTAAAGATGCGGATTATTTGTTTAGACCACATGTTAAAATCCGGTAAATTGATATAATGTGTAGAGATACCTATATTGATTGCTGCGGTCGGGTATGAATTCTTAGAACCAATGTTTCGTTTAATTAAATTTAATTTGCATAGAGATATGGAATTAAACTAATTAAGTAGGCTCAATGAGAACTCGAGAGGGGTAAGTTGAATACAATAGAAGAATCCGACCGAACACTACCTTAGATTTTATGAATCTTGATTTATGAAGTAAAGGTGACCAATAGGTGAAATTGTTCCGCCCTAACGTCCATTTATTGTTTGAATTCTCAATCACTTTTCATTGAATCCAATCACATTTTAAGTCTTTAGAGTAAAAATCACATTTAATCATTGTTTTTTATTTACATTCGTCAAATAGTAGTTAAAGAAAAATTAAATTAAGTGCTACAAAATAGTCCTCGTGGGATCGATAACCGGACTCTTAGGTCCACTATTACTTGTTACGGATCGTACACTTGCGAAACAAAATTTTACAACAATTATACATGTGATTGCACAAACTTGATTTCATAATAAAGCGAGCACAACCGACGCGAGCTTCTTAGTATGTGAAATAAAATTGTGAAGGTGTTCTCATCGAATCCGGAGAGAATACATGTGAACGAGGTTATAAATTGATTAATGACGCATGCAATAAACATGAGACATGTATCTTATAATACTTTGCTTGACGTAGTTTGAGGAAGAATTGGGACACTTTTTAGATTGCTTTGGATTCGTGGAATAAGTTTTCACTAAATGTTCGTTGTCAAGCTAAAATTGAAATTTTTAACGAGAACCAGAATCGGTTGGTGTCATTTCGATTTATTTGCTTTTTGCCTGTGGAACCAATTATTCCATTTTCAGAATTCCCAATGAGAAATGGTTCGATTTCAGTTCTCCTTCCTAATTAGAACAGTTCAGAAAACACTGTTACAATTCCTGGTTTTGAACTAGAAAGATTATTGTAGGATGATCATGTTAAGCCCAATTTAGTGCTTGTTTGATAGAGATTTTGATAATTGATTTGTTGACCGTTAGAGATAAAATGGGTCCTACTTGTAAGAGAAAAATTCAAAAATGACGATTAGAATAGTGAAATAACGGTCAACAAATTAATTTTAATTGACTTAAAATCTGTACCAAAGAAATACTTACTTTGAAATAAAGTCATGTGGGGCCAAGGATGCACACTCCTTTGACTAGGACTTTGGAACAACCCAATTTAGCCCCGATTTGAATCTCATTACGTTAAATTTCATTACATTCCTTTTTTCTCTTTTTTATTTTCAACCACACAATTTTCTATAAAATAATATTATACATAAATCGAAAATTTTTCCTTATTTTTCAACCACTCGTTTTTCAAAAAAAATCATTATTCCAACCATTTTTATTTCCAAAAATTGGGAACCAAACAGGAGCTTAAACTCCACTTGATCCCTACTAAGAAGCATGAACGTAAAAGGATTAAAACGATTCTAACACTTTGCACTACAAATTTCACAAAGGGCATCAAACTTGGCTCCAGAAATAACATATTGTGAATCATGACAGGGTCCAAAATTTTTCGCTCGCTCGACACATTTTTTGAATTGAAGAACTTTTAACAGTTAGGGTCAATATAGGAGCCAAAAAGTCGTTTGTAATGAATATATTAGTCCTGTTTTTATCCATTAATTATGATTTTGACATAACCTCTTTCGATTTATAAAAAAATATATATATTTATAATTGCTTTACGTGATATACATATGACGGTTATAATTAATATCAAAAAAAAATTACCACATTAATACATCTAATTACTAATCGTCTTATGTATGTCATGTAGGATGATTATGACAATAAGCGACTGTAAATAATATTATTCTAAAAAATTATTTGACTGGTAAGTTAAAATATTCATGAGTCTGAGAGGAATAAAAATAAATAAATTCAAAAAAGTTGGGCCCATGCCACTTCGCCCGTGATTGTGGAAGGATTACAGTTCAACCATCCATAATTAATTATAAGAAAGCTTGTTTTGCTCGCGAGAGGCACCGGCGGTCCCAACTGCAAATGTTACACATGTTCAGTCGATTGCCATCTGGCTATCTACTTTGTCCTCTGCAACATTGGACTGTATAATTTTGTCCACTGCTTCTGCTTCTGTTTATTTCTGACACTTTTTTTCACTTCCTTTTTTTCGTCTTTCTCTATGATATTCCTTCTCCCAACGCTCTGACCATATTTCTTTACTTTCCTCAATTGATTCTTTATGCAAGCTTCAATTTGCAATTATCAGAAGAGTGAGGTGTCAATCGTCAAATAACCAGAAAATTTATACATCCCTTGATTGATTCGAATTTCTTTTTTCAGAACTGGACTGGATATGCTGAATCAAGAAATTCTTTAGTTAAGCGCTTTATTTTGGAATCACTTTGCATGTAAGAATCGGGTTTTTATTTCCATCTTCAAATTTTATCGTCAATCGAAAGGAATGTTTTCTGGGTTTTCTGAATTTCAGAAAGCGCTTCCTGGATTTTATCACTGTCCACCGAATCGAGGTAAGAATTGATGATTATTTGATTTTTGTTCTTTAATTTTCTTTATTTCATCAATATTTTTATATTTTTTATTTTTCATGAAATTAGTGGTTAAACTGGATACGGTTTTGTTCCTGGCAGGCGAGAGAAATATTAGACATCAATCATCCTTGTTAAATGATCAAAACTTACGTATGTGAATGCATTTCTTCGGAGTAGGATAAGATTGTGATTGGAATGATTTATAAATTCTGAGAATTGAAGATTGAATCTCAAATGGACATATCAAATTGTAAGCATTTGAGATTCTTTGGACTCCATTCGAAGTCTCTGGTTTGCAAATGTGTGGCACTGGTGATCATTGCTTTGGTTCTTAGAGCAGTTTTTCTTCCCACTTTTTATAGCCTTGGTGGGATTGGAAACAAGAACCTATTTGCATTCGACAATGGACTGTCAATGTTGAATCGAGAATTTAGTATTGAAAAGGCGAAGTTTTTGGAGGTTCCTCAAATCATTTGGGGGTTAAACAATCAGAAAATTGCCTTTGCAAGAGCTTGTTTAACCGCAAGAATGCTGAATAGAACACTGTTGATGCCTAGCTTGAGTGCGTCGCTATTTTATAAAGAAGTTGATTTGTTGCAACCTATTTCATTCGATAAGGTTTTCCAATTTGAAAAATTTAACTCTCTTTGTAAGGGGTTTGTCCAATTAGCTCGTTATTCAGAAGTTTCCAACGGAAGTGATGTTTTCAAGCTTCAAAAGGGGAGTGGAAGGAGGTGGACGGTCAAGAGAGATTTAGATCAGTTAAGACAGTTCAGGAACAATCCATATGACGGGTATGAAATCGTTCAGATTGTTGGCAAGAACCCATTTCTGTGGCACGATCATTGGCCAGTTAAAGACTACGCAAGGGTCTTCAAATGCTTGGTTTGGGTGGAAGAAATATCAAGAGAAGCTGATAAGATTGTTTCCAAGATTAGAGAGTTTGGGTCAAAAGAAATCCTTAAAGTTGGGCTGTCTCAAAATGTTATCGACTCAGTGCCTTATGTTTCAGTTCATATGAGAATAGAAAAGGATTGGACGATTCACTGCAAGAAGCTGGAACAAAGATTAAATATAAGTGAAATTTGTAGCAGTAAGGAGGAGATTATGGAAAGAGTTGGAAATATTGTCGGCTTGAAAACTCCAGCTGTAATTTACCTTGCAGTGGCCGATACCCTTCTTGAAGATAACTCTATACTAACAGGTTGGGATGAAGGATTGCTTCCTTTCGAGAAGAAAAAGTTAGGTGTTATCGAAATATACAAGAAGCACCCGTATCTCATTCAATCAGCCATTGATTATGAAGTTTGCTTAAGATCAGATGTGTTTGTAGGGAACAGTTTTTCAACATTTTCCAGCCTTGTTGTTCTTGATAGAACCCAGAAAATGATCAAAATTGGTGCTAGGAATCTCTGCGGCATGGAAGCAAAATGGCCTTCTTATTCGTACAATTTACGTGGGGAATCTAAAGGGCCCCGTCCATGGGTGACGAATATGTCTGATCGTAACCTGCAAGCAATTAGTTATGGTTCTAATCACATCTCGTGTGAATTAAGTTCATAATTCTAGATGATCGCCCGATGCTTACTTGGATGTTGCCAGAGCTCATTGGACGCAATTGGTGGTATTGCTTCAAATTTATTTATATTTATCTATAAACAAGATGAGGTTTGGAATTTTTTGGGAAGTAGATTAGGGAAAAATCAGGTATACGTTTGTTTTTGTAAATCTTATATTTGGATATTTCAGTTTCTTGATATTTTTATAGCTCTATATAGTGATAGGACGTGTGTCTTGGTGGAATACTTGTGAATTAAATTTTTCTGTAGGCACATTTTATGTCAGTTGCAAGAAAAGCTTCATTTTTAAACAATTATTCTGTGTTTAAACAATTAAACACTCTTTTTTAAACTGTCATAATCTTTACATGTTTGTATAATATTATGTTTTTGACTTATCTTCTTACTGAACATGCTATAAATGGACATATATCTTCCGTTATATGCTGTAGAGCAACATTCTTCGCATAGCTTGACAAATTCCGACATTCCTTTCTGTTGGAAGTTATTTCTCTCTTGTTTTCTTGGTGGTGACTGTGATGAGAATGGTGGGGATGGGGACTTAATGGTGTCTTGAACAACCAAAATTTGCCCGAGATCACCCTACTAAAATGCGGCTTCGTTTTGTGCTTAATTCATTTCAGTGCACAAACTCTGTTGCTAAAATGACAAGCAGCAGTACAAATTTTCCCAATATTTACACAGTGCTATCCATCTATACAAAAATATCGAATCAATCCCGGAAAGAATAATCATACCATTAAAAGCAGAAAAGGAAACTCATTTTTCCCCTATAAATTGCCACCTCATAAGCAGTTTTAAGTGTAAAGTGCCGGCAAATATAGTAGGCCTAATTACATAAAAATGCTCAAAATTTCCAAGCATGTTGATCATCTCGTATGAAAGAAGCAAGCACCATGCTCACTGTCAAATGCCAATCCTATATAAGGACTGAATCACATATAGAGAACATAAAAAACTGTTTACTTCATTGCCTTTTAAATTGTCAAAAACATTTATCCTTTTGTTTTCCTTAAATACTTTCCTCTTCCTTCTGCAAGAGGGAAGCTCTGTATTGTATACACTCCTAATCCTTGCACAAAGGAATTTAAGCTCATAAGTTTTGAGCGCAAGAAGGAATAGGAGAACTGAATGAGAAAGGGTCTTTCGCTATATATGTCCAGACAGTGAGAGAGCAAGATCATCTTTCCCCCGTAAATCAAACATTATAGGAATGCTAATCGTCTTCATTGGATGTAGTCGTCATAGTAATTGTCGCTCATAACGGACACAAATTTTTCTAGCCAAGGTAGCTGGTGCAGATCTTTCATGGGATCAACATAGGAATCTGTACAGCGAGGTGGGGATTGTTGTGGTTGATGATCCGTCAAACTGAACGCCCCTGCAAGGAACCTCTGGATCAATGCCAGTTGTGATTTTTCTTGATCTGAATAAGCATCCATCATCATCGGAAGTGACTCAAATGAATCCCATGCCCATTGTTCAAACTCTTGGGTAGGATAATTTGCCGATTCATTAGAATAATCTTCGCTCCAGAATGAACATTCACACGTCTGTTGGCCACCCCTGTATTCCACACCACAAGAATAACAAAACTGGTGCCCACACCTGCAGGTAAAAGATGGACGAGGGACAATTAGAATGAGCACTTGTAAGGTTTACCCAATTAGCCTGCCATTCAGATTTCTATAGTTTCGACTTCTTTATATGCCAATATTTCCTTTTGGTATGATAAGCAATGCTAAGTCACAATTTCCAAATGTATTTCCATGATGCCCCCAACACCTACTAAGCATTTAAGAAATTTTATTAATCTGTTCAGAGCACATGCCAAGAGATATTGCGAGAAAAAATATAAACAAAAATCGAGATGACAAGAATCCAATAACAAATAAAGAAAACAAATATCAGCCCTTGTTTGAGCCCCATTTTGAGGGAAAATGCATTTTTGAATAGTATATTAATGGAAAATATGTGGTTAAAAAATAAGGAAAAATTTTGGATTTGCGTGTAATATTATTTTATTGAAGAATGTGCTGTTGAAATGATGTCAAAACACTGTTTAAGAATGAGGCTCAAACAATGGCTCAATATTGTAAATTTTAAGTTCAATGCACTCCACACTTCTAATTAAAGTTTTAAGGAATACTTGTTATCGTGTATAGAAAATGGCCTAATTAAACCTCACCCAATAATGTTTGTTAGCTCACAATTAATAAGGAAGGTGATATATTCCTCACCATCGTATGACAAGTGTTGAGGATGAAATTACCTTCTCTCATCCTACTTAGAAAATTCATCTAAATTGACAATGATCTCACATTTTGCACCAAGTGTATAAAAAATAAAATAAAATAAAAAAAGAGGAGGAAGATTCCAACAAGTCTACTAAATTAACATGTAATTCCATTTATAAATCATAATTTTCCATTTATAAATCATAATATATTTACAAGTATGAAAAGGGCATATGTGATGTGGAATGATGATTCATCTATATACTACAACACACATTTATTAGCCATATCTTAACGCTATACAGTATACATGCACATACATGCTTTTATTAAGGTGACATTCAAATAACTCAACTGACCTGAGCCTCAAAGGGCCTCCATCGGTCAACACAGCACGGCTTCTCGCACATTTGATTTGAAATGATGACAGAATTTGACGTCAACACTATTCATTTATTTTTCTAGTACCATTTCTTCTCATTTTTCTTTTTTTAATCATTGGAGAACACCATATTTGGCAACATAACCTAACCCATTTATCCAAAAAAAAAAGCACAGTAATATTTGGAAGAACTCAGCTGGTCAAAGGGATAGATCTATATGAAAATCAAACTCATTGCCAATTGGCTCACAGAAAGTTAGGGCATAAATGGGTTAGGTTATGTTGCCAAATATGGTGTCCTCCAATGAAAATGTACCATGTTTGGTGATGATTGCTCTATTGCCAATTATGCAACTTGTATCCATTGAAGGTAAACTAATTGCACGACAGAGCCCAGAAGGCAAAAAGCCACTCTATTGCCAATTATGCAACTTGTATCCATTGAAAGTAAACTAATTTCACGACGGAGCCCAAAAGGCCAACAGCCAATCTCTCCATAACAAGAATTTACAATCTGTTACGGATTTTACTGATCCCAGAAATGATGTATGTGTTTTAAACTCACCGCGTGCCACCCCAAGTTGTAATCAGCATCCACCACAATGTATTGTAAGGGTTCTTCAGATGCCCCAGTGGGCGAGGACCATTTAAATGTAGATATTTCTCTATCATTCTGACACACACACACACATAAAATCAGGTCCAATCTGCTAATTGTGGGAAAATTAAGGTGTTTTGGCATATTTGTGATGGCTTAGTTCATCCTACCCTTTACTAATAGCTTAGTTTATATTCAGTAATCTAGAACAAAGATAGGTGTACTTTTGCAGACCATCTTTCCCAGGTCTCCTCATTTTTCTTCCGCAACCATTTTCTTACAAATTGAACCAAAGTGAAGCAAGGAAAAATGTTGCTAAATCACTACGAGAAAATACATCAAAAGCATTTGAAAACGGAAGCACAAATATTTTGAAAGATAAAAATCTTACCGGCATGTCATGTGGTAACAACCATGATTGAGTTCAATCATCCTGTGGCACTGCTGGCAACGCCTCCACCCTTTATTCTGTACCAGACTTATGTAACAAGCTTCTCTATCCTCTAATGGGAGTTTTTGATATTCTTCACAAGTCATAGAAGTATGCCAAGGAACACCACAATCGACGCATATGAATCCCCGACAAACAGGACACTCCATGCAGCCGTTGTCCGTCTGGCTCGATGAACTCGCCCTAGTCGACAAGCATTCGCGAGGATCAAGCATAACCGAGCAATTAGGGTAAGGACAGAAAATCTTGTCAAGGATATTTGCTTCTTTGAGGGCCCTCTCCAAAGATTCGTAAGAGGTAACGGGAAGAAAAGAGCTAAATTCAGGGGTGGAAATACAGTATTTGCAACTCGAATGAGGGCATCTAATGGGAACACGAGTAGATTGCAATTTCTCCTTAACATGAGTTTTCATGCAGTCAGAACAAAATTTGTGTGAACACTTGATCGTGATAATCATTGATGAAAACTTCTCCTCGCAACAGATTGAACAACTTTCAGTCAATTTATCTCCTTCGACAGGAGTCGAGACTATTCCAACTGCCACCTGGGCTAATTGTACAGCCTTTTGGATTTCAGTACTTCGGACAAATTTTAGAACAAAGGCTTCCATATTACTAGCTTGTTCTAGGATCCTTTGCCTCAGCGCCGCAAGAAGTGGATTTTCAAGTTCCTCATCTTTTGTAATCTGAAAGAAATTAATACCACTTTATCATTAAGTTATATAGAAAATTTTCAAAAGCAATCAGTTAGTGCTGAGAAGTGCAATATTCTTCCGTTATTATTCGGGAGCATATTGATTCATTTCAAACTAATAATGGTTAAATTTAGTTTGTCAGAAAGCAAATGGGTAAAATTGAATTAGTTTTCCAAACAGAAAAAATATTGATCATGAGAAGTGCAACTCAAATACCAAATTTAAACAGATTTGTTGGCTTAACCAATTGTAATCACCAACAAACAAACAAAAAGCAATATAATAAGTTTGGGACTGGGAAATTGCTTACTTGATCATATAGGATATCAGAGTCAGTAAAGGCGAAAACCTGCCTAATATTTTTTTCTGCAGCCTCTAATAAGCCATCAAGCAGAGCTAAATAATCTGCCACCGATTCTTCCACATAAAAATCGAGCTTTTTCTGCACTCGAATAGGAGATAAATCACGTGACCTCTCCATAACCACCCCGATTCCAGAAAGCCTAGAACCAAAATCTCCGGGACCAGCTATAGACACACCCTTGAAATACATCTTTACAGAATAATCATCAAGATCTTCATCTAAATCTGCCTTTCCGGGTTCTTCACTATCCTCCACTTCATCCTCATCCTCGCAACAGCTTCTAAAATCATCTTCTTCTTCCTTAGTTTCATCAGCAGACGAACCATCCATAATTGGTTGTTCCTCCATTACCATGTACTAAAATTTTCAAGTGGCCACAATTTCTTCACAGCTCCACTTACTTCAAGAATATATGGGTCTCAAATCTAATAAAAGACCAAATATTTCGGAAAACGTATCAGAATCTAACAAATAAACAACAACAAATTCAGCATCCATAGTCCAAGATAAAGGACCATTAAATTCAAATGATGACTCATTGAAATTACTCAAAAAAAGAAGATCCAGATGTTTTAATACACATCTCTGCCTCCTATATGGAAATATAGAAATTTATTATTAACCAAAAGATCCAGGATTCAGATAAATCACAGAAAAATAAATGAATAAATAAAAACTCCCCATCAGCCAGAAGAGGTACAGAAACATAAAATTCAGTTCATTAAAAAAGACAGCCCAACAAACATCACTCTTCAATCAGCCTAATCTTGCCTATCTTTAAAATTCATATATTTTTTTCTTAAAAAGTATATACATGTGAATGTATAAACACACACACGTGCACAAGAAATCAAGAACTGAAGGTTCCATACCTTGGTGTGAAAAATTATTGTTTGGAGAGTTTCAGAGTGGGTGATTATACCTTATTAATAAATGGGCGGGCATTAGAACCCTAATCTGACAAATGCTCCTTCTGTGTCTGGACAGTGCTATATTTTTCTCTGGATTTTACAAACACAGGGAGAGAGTGAGGGCATCAATCGGTTACTATTGGTGTTAATGGCGTCAAAAGAAAGTCAAGTTATTTGGTAGGAGAGGTCGGATTATCATTAGGCTTTCTTTTCTATTTTTTAATTATAAACTTATAAAAAATTCTAATAAATCCTACTTATACATAATAAAATTATATATAGGGCCCGTTTGGTAGAGATTTTGAGAATTGATTTTTTGACCGTTAGAAGAAAAGTGGGGTCCACATGTGAGAGAAGAAATTAAAAATTACGACTTGAATAGTTAAATAACGATCAAAAAATCAATTTTTTGGGGCAAAAAATCCCTACCAAACGGGGCCATAGTAGTTTTGCAGTAACGAGGTATCAAAAAAATTGGAAATTTTTTTTATTCGATTTAGGAAATGTTGATTCAAACATATCTATCAGATTATGTATATTTAAATTATTATATACATATAGCACAATGATACAGATTATTATGTCTTCGTGTTTGATTTTGAAAATTTTTTATTTAATCTATTATCTATCGTCATCTAAATTAAGGTTATGAGTGTGCTTGTGCAGGATTTAATTTGGACGGGAATGTACCAAATAAATATTCTAATCCGACGTGGGGTGACGTATTAATTAGAGAAGAAAGATTCCCCGAGTGTTTACGAAACCCAGGCACATGGGTTGCGTTTGTTAAAGTCTGATTAAAAACGTGAACCCACCTTGACTTTCTAACCCCCTTTATTATTATTTTTAATTTTTTATTTACTTTATCAATTCTTTCAAGTATTTAATTAATCCGGCAAGGGTAAGAACTATAAGTTAAAATATGCGTCAATCATGATTAGCCCCCACTACTCAATTATTGGAATGTGGTCTATTGGATAATTAGTTACTAATTTATTATTTCGTATGTGTCAGTGTAGCGAGCTAAAAAAAAAAAAAAAAAACTTGGGCCTTAATCGTTAATGATTATGAAAATTGATTTTTTGATCGTTGGAGAAAAATGTATGTCTTATTATGAATGAAGAAATAAAAAAAATTAAGGTTGAAATAACGAAATAACGATTAAAAAATAATTTTTTAAAGTGAAAAATTGCTAACAAACAAAGCTTTTACAATTTGAATAGAATTGCGCGCTCAAACTTGAGGTTAGATATATCAAATTGGATATAACTAAAACATAAATATATTTAAAATAACGAAGTGGAAAGTTTTCTTGCTGGTCACCCATCTTATAGGTTTCTTTCATGTTAGTCTCCAAATTTTAATTTATTGAAAATTGATCATATACTTTCTTTTTTATTACAATTTCACCAATCTATTAACTAACATGATCAAACTGATGGTCTCTCCCGTATGTGCGTGGATGGTTTTAATGACATGAACCTAATTGTTATTTATGATAGAATTAAAATGTCAACATGAGTTTTACTTGCTTTTGCTTAGGAACGGTAGTGGGTGGGTCGAGGGTGGCCCATCCCAAACGAAGAATTAAAATATCATCATCTATCATTCCAGTTTATTTATCTATGTATTTTTTATATTTTAAATAAAATATTTTTAAAGAAAATAGACATGAGAATCGTGTTCTCATCCCAATCCCAATTCACAGAGGCACAAGATGACAAGGCAAGTTACATTTTGTCATCCCTACTTTTTGCCTCTCTTCATTTGAAACTAGCTTAAACAGAAAGCATCTATCAAAGGAGAAGAAGGGAAAAGTGTTGACGAATAAGGGAAAAATGAAATTCTCTTTTGGGGTTACAATTACTAATGAAGTGTTGATAGAGAAAGAAAAGAGAAAATATTGTGATTAGTCTGAAATAAACTAAAGATTATCGATAAAAAAAATAGGAAAAAAATATATTGCTTCTATTAGACCCTATTCGGTATAATTAAAATTTAAATTAAAGTCAATAATTAATTTTAACACTACATTTCGTGGAAGTCACAACTTTTTAATAATACATTCCATCAATTTTTATTAAAATCTACTAAAAATTTAATTTTAACTTCTACCAAACATGACTTAATGTAACTTTTGGCTGCAATTGACTTTAAAAAAATATTTTTGCGTATGCATCATTGAGCTATTTTCTTTGTCCCTAACAGGGCCACAGCCTACATACAGTAGGTTGTCCCTTTAATTTATAATTACTTTTTTAAAGCATTTAGGAATAAGAATATGAAGATTAGGACAACCACCAATTTATAATTGCATTGTAATGGGCAATATTCATCTATATGAACAAGGACAAAGAGATATTGGAAGATTGATAGGAATATTTGGATATGGCCGGTGCGACATTTTGAATTATGAATTAGGGGTTGTTTGAGCATCGTTTTTCTTAAAAAAATGTATTTTGAAATAGTATTATGATGAAGAATATACGGTTAAAAATAAGAAAAAGTTTCGAACTTACGTGTAATATTATTTTATTGAAAAAATTGTGGTTAAAATTATGTCAAATCACTGTTAAATAATGTATTTTGATAAAAAAATGGGGCTCAAAAAAGGGCTTGATAGGAAATTAAAGTCAATAAATAATAAAGAAAGAAACTATGGTACCATGGATTGCTTGTTCTTTTTCTACGTTTGCTTCCTCCATCTTAATTGCACTCAATGAATACTTGGATGTGAGATTGCGTCTCAAGTGCGGTACACTTATCTTGGTTGATTTAACATATGTATTTTATGTTCTTTGACAAGCAGCTCTTGCTTACAGATTTGTTGTTATAGTTTAAGTCCAATCTATTATTTATATGTTCAATGGAATGCACAAGTACAGGAAGAAGCACACTCTAATTTTTCAACTTTGATCTAGTGATTGACATGGAAGGTGGTGTCCAATTCTATAGGTAGAATCTAATAATGTACGTGAACCCAGTAAGTAGTTAACATGCTCATTTTTCAATCTATGTCCATTCTCGATTCTAACCCCGTTCTCTCAACGAGCTATAGATCACTATACTTGGTCACTATGCATGTGGGATGGAAAAAACCCTCCTAATTCAATCTCAATGAATACACATTTTGTTTTAAGTCATACCAGACTAGCTGAATTTGAGAAGCGCTAAAACAACTTCTAAAGTAACACAAACAAAAGTACTGATTGAACTAGGAGAGTCGGGTCTAAAAGAGAATTCCTTATTTCTTTCCCTTGTGTGCCTATGTTCTTTTTTAATATAGCACTTTTTGATTTTTTAAAATGAAAATTAATATTCAACTCAGATTACTTAATATTTCGAATATCTTGTTATTATTCATGAAGTAATTTCATCTTTTATACTAGCATAAAAATAAATTTCCTATATTCTCGAAACAAAATAATTAATTGCATCCTTATTTATAGAGTAATTATTAAATAATTATTTTTTCTATATACTTAATGAACCCATAAGTTTACGCTGGACAGTGCACACTATCAAACGGGACTACTCGGTCCAACAAGAAGTAAAAAAGCAGAAAATGAGCCATAATAAATGGGCTAATACAATTGGTCCATATATTTGATACCACCAATTATGGGGATTCTGAGGGACAATTAGACCCAATTCAATTCTGCCCCATTTTTTTGTTACTTGGCATTTAATTGACAAGTCATCTCAACTAAACTTATATCCATTCATTTAAAATTATATGTCAATTATTGTGAATGTCATCAAGACTGGTGTTAAGCACTCGTAGTACTAGTTAAGGGTGTATTTGTCACCCATTATTTGCAAAGAATGTATTATGGAATAGTGACCGATATTGAAATGTATGATTAAAAAAGATGAAAAAAATTTTAATTTATGTATAATATTATTTTAATAAAGAATTTGTGGTTGAAAATGAGTACTATAAAAAAAAGAATAAAAAAATGGAGAGAATGGATGACAAACAGGGACTAATATTACCCTGTCTTTATTTGAGATTGTTGCCAACGGCAACCAGCATAGTTTCTCGAATGATAATTTTAGTTATCATTGCATTAATGACGAAAATAATTGTTAAATCGAAACATTAATTAAAACACAACAAACAATATAATAAATTCTCGAGGAAAAGGCTATCCAAATGCTCAAACTATCGCAGCGGAAAATATTCTTTTCTTCGTCTTTGTGAAATTACATAAGCACGACAATAAAATAAAAAATTATCTGGCAGAAATTAGGTAAAAAAAAAAAAAAAAAAATCTTCAATCCAAATTAGAAATTATTTCTATAACGTATTTGAAAAAAGATTATATAAAAATACAGAGATTATTAGTCTATCTTCTTGATAACGCAAAAACCAGGAAAAAAATTAACATAAACATATTGAGAATTAGCAAATTGAAGCATTCTAAAATGCTAAATTTCAGGTTGTTTTCATTCGATAAATTAATACACATAAATGCTTAGTAAGTTGAATTAATGTGACTCTAACTAGTACAAAATAAATGTCAATTAAGTACATTGACTAAGGACATTATTACAAATGAAAACTAAAGTTAGGACAAAAGTGGAAATCCAATGTTTCTTCACCATCCACACTTTTTATATAGGGTGATTTATAATTTATATTTCGCACCATAAATTTTTTCTATAATTTTTTTTTATAAATACACACATTGCATAAAATTTATTAAATATTTATTCATCATCCTACTTATATCTTTAACCTTTTACTTGATCATATTTTTATCTTGGGTAAATAGCACGAAACGTTCTTACATTTCATGATTTTTTATGAAAAATGTTTATACCTTTCGTTTTTTGGCGCATTTCATCCCTACATTTACATTTTCTTGTCCAAAATATCATTTTCATCATTTTTTTCAATAAAAGGCTATAAAATGACCAATATACCATTCTATTTAAATTTTTTAAAAAAATAATTGCAATCATAGTCCCAATTTTTAAAAAAAGTTCAAAAGAGTCCCAAACAAAAATAAATGAATATTTGAACTCCCACAAGATCATTCACAGAGATTTGAAGCCGTCAAATATATTAGTAAACAGTAAAATTGAAGTAAAAATTTCTAATTTTGGAGTCAGTAAAATCATGCACTTGACATTAGATCCCTACAATTCCTACGTTGGAACCTGCGCTTGTATGAGCCCGGAAAGATTCGACCCAAATACATACGGCGGCAATTACAACAGGTACGCAGGTGATATATGGAACTTAGGATTGACTCTACTGGAACTGTTCATGGGTCATTTTCCATACTTGCCGGAGGGGCAAAGACTTGACTGGGCTACACTTATGTGTGCCATATGCTTCGACGAGCCACCGAGCTTGCCAGAAGTGCATCAGAAGATTTCAAGAATTTCATTCAATGTTGTTTGCATAAGGATTCCAGTAAATGATGGAGTGCAACCCAGGTGTAATCACATTCTTTTGTGAGAGATATTGAACTGAAATCAACATGAGGAGATTAATTTTCGATGATTATGGCCAAAAATCTGAGGATAACAGTTTGGGGAACTATTTGTATATATAAAAGCAGAATTTTCGAGATTTTATTTCTTTAGTTTTATCTGTATGTTCTTTCCTTCATTTTCGAGGATTATGTACTTTTTATTTTTTTGTTTGGGACTCTTTTGAATTTTTTTTTTAAAAATTGGGACTATGATTGCAATTAGTTCTTTATTTTTTTAAAAAAAAATTAAATAGGATGGTATATTAGTCATTTTTTAGCCTTTTATTGAGAAAAATGACGAAAATGATTTTTTGCACAAGAAAATGTAAAGGTAGGGATGAAATGTGCCAAAAAACGAAAGGTATGGACATTTTTCACAAAAATCATGAAAGGTAGGGACGTTTCGTGCTAATTACCCTTTTATCTTTAACATTTTATTAGTCATAATTTTTTATCCTTAATCGTGGTTTTCATTCAAAAAGTATTGTTAATGTGCTTTAAAATGAGGATCAAATATTTAATCGCAAAATACAGAGATTATTAGTCTATCTTCTTGATAACGCAAAAACCAGGAAAAAAATTAACATAAACATATTGAGAATTAGCAAATTGAAGCATTCTAAAATGCTAAATTTCAGGTTGTTTTCATTCGATAAATTAATACACATAAATGCTTAGTAAGTTGAATTAATGTGACTCTAACTAGTACAAAATAAATGTCAATTAAGTACATTGACTAAGGACATTATTACAAATGAAAACTAAAGTTAGGACAAAAGTGGAAATCCAATGTTTCTTCACCATCCACACTTTTTATATAGGGTGATTAATAATTTATATTTCGCACCATAAATTTTTTCTATAATTTTTTTTTTTATAAATACACACATTGCATAAAATTTATTAAATATTTATTCATCATCCTACTTATATCTTTAACCTTTTACTTGATCATATTTTTATCTTGGGTAAATAGCACGAAACGTTCTTACCTTTCATGATTTTTTATGAAAAATGTTTATACCTTTCGTTTTTTGGCGCATTTCATCCCTACATTTACATTTTCTTGTCCAAAATATCATTTTCATCATTTTTCTCAATAAAAGGCTATAAAATGACCAATATACCATTCTATTTAAATTTTTTTTAAAAATAATTGCAATCATAGTCCCAATTTTTAAAAAAAGTTCAAAAGAGTCCCAAACAAAAATAAATGAATATTTGAACTCCCACAAGATCATTCACAGAGATTTGAAGCCGTCAAATATATTAGTAAACAGTAAAATTGAAGTAAAAATTTCTAATTTTGGAGTCAGTAAAATCATGCACTTGACATTAGATCCCTACAATTCCTACGTTGGAACCTGCGCTTGTATGAGCCCGGAAAGATTCGACCCAAATACATACGGCGGCAATTACAACAGGTACGCAGGTGATATATGGAACTTAGGATTGACTCTACTGGAACTGTTCATGGGTCATTTTCCATACTTGCCGGAGGGGCAAAGACTTGACTGGGCTACACTTATGTGTGCCATATGCTTCGACGAGCCACCGAGCTTGCCAGAAGTGCATCAGAAGATTTCAAGAATTTCATTCAATGTTGTTTGCAGAAGGATTCCAGTAAATTATGGAGTGCAACCCAGGTGTAATCACATTCTTTTGTGAGAGATATTGAACTGAAATCAACATGAGGAGATTAATTTTCGATGATTATGGCCAAAAATCTGAGGGTAACAGTTTGGGGAACTATTTGTATATATAAAAGCAGAATTTTCGAGATTTTATTTCTTTAGTTTTATCTGTATGTTCTTTCCTTCATTTTCGAGGATTATGTACTTTTTATTTTTTTGTTTGGGACTCTTTTGAATTTTTTTTTTAAAAATTGGGACTATGATTGCAATTAGTTCTTTATTTTTTTAAAAAAAAATTAAATAGGATGGTATATTAGTCATTTTTTAGCCTTTTATTGAGAAAAATGACGAAAATGATTTTTTGCACAAGAAAATGTAAAGGTAGGGATGAAATGTGCCAAAAAACGAAAGGTATGGACATTTTTCACAAAAATCATGAAAGGTAGGGACGTTTCGTGCTAATTACCTTTTTATCTTTAACATTTTATTAATCATAATTTTTTATCCTTAATCGTGGTTTTCATTCAAAAAGTATTGTTAATGTGCTTTAAAATGAGGATCAAATATTTAATCGCATATTTGCAATATTATTTGTTTCGCTTGTTCAAAAATACAGTGAATAAATAAGTCTTTTTTACTCTATCTTAAATAGAGTTTTGGAAATAAACCATTATTTGGAACATTTTATGTTGATTTGAGAATAAAAATGCGATGAAAAAAGTTTGAAACATAAATGTGATAACATATAAAGATTATAAACATTTAATGCAATTAAAATGTAGATAAAAATTGAGATGTGAGTATATTTTGGCCTTTTATATATTGAAAAATTTATTAAGGGTGCGTTTGATTGCAAGCATGAAATTTATTTGAAATTTGTGTGGAAATGAAATAAATTTCAAACAATTCAATTGCTTATAACTTACTTATATGAAAACTATTAATTAAATGTGTTTCATTGATTTAGTTTTTAACTTATAAAATATTATATTTTTTTATTTTTTATTGGTAAGTAGATGAGAGAGAAAGGGATAGTGAATTACCTAAAAATTATAAATCACCACTTCTTAAAAGAAAATATTTTCCTTTAGTTTTGAGGAAAATATAGTTACGTGATCAAAAGTTGGAAAATATTTTTCCATGAAAAAATTGTTAATCAAATACCCCAAAAGTAGTAACTTGGATAAAAAAAAAAGAATAACATTTTTTGTGGAAAATAAAACCAATCAGACATATTCTAAGTGTTTGTTTGATAAGTTTCATTAAATTTTTATCGTACTTTAATTTTAAGCTCTCATCTTAGGGACACAACTTTGTCAACCGTTCATACCATACTTCATGAATTTTTATTAAAAGTTTTATTAGACAAGCCTAAGTTACGAATAGATAAAAATGAATAGTGAGATAAGTAATTAGTAACCGTAAATTCTACGTAATATGTGAATAACAAAGTTGTTTTGTCGATTATAAATAGATGTCAAACATGCACTTAACCTCTCTTATTCTTTTCAACCTCAAAACGGTGTATGTGGGCCCCGAGTTTATACAGAGGAAACGTGTTGCAATACTGACGACGCGATGTCAATTTAAAGATGATGGACTAGTAGATATGTGCCCCCAACAATAAGATACAACCAAGAAAGTTACGGTTCACATCACGGGGCCCCATACTCACTCGTCGGATCAATGCATTTATTCCGGGTTTTGACCACATCATCTAATCTAAACAATTTGGAATATAGAAAAATCATTAAAGTGGACAACTTTTGCGACACATCTTTCCATTTCGACCTTAAAATGGGCCCACAACGTTTCATCATCATTAGTCTGAAGACAGAAACATGGGCCAAGATACTCGGACATTTCATCGGGTCAGTTGGGCCCACTATTGGAATAGGTATAAAGTACAATAAATGAGTTGTTTTGAAGGAAACTTTGTTAGGTTGGCACTTTCATAACGTGTACATGTTGTCTGACCTAGAATAATTGATATTTGATAATGTAGGTAGAATTTTATCATATAGTTCAATTTTTATGTAATCGTTACGTAATAAATCCTTGTTTCGTATCATCAAATTAATCATCAATTTAGTTTCACGTCGGATGTTAGTTTATCGAGTATTATCTAATACGATTTACCAAAACGTTCACGACATGTATAACGTGCCCTTATATTATAACTTAACATGTGACAATTCAGTACCTCATTTTGATTAAAGATGAACAAAAAATTATTTGAATTTAGAACTTCACAATAAAAATAAATATGAACAATAGTAAACAAAGCTTCCTATGCAGTTCCTTAGTCTTTATCTTGCTTTTTCCGAGTTTCGACGTGCATGGCAAGACTTTTAAGCAGTGGAATTTTTGGTTTCTTTTACTCTATTCACACGTATACTTAGATTGGACCTTAATAAATTCTATACTATGATTGACCAAGAAAAAATTTACCCTTGCACCATTTGTGACCATACAACGTTAATTTGTCTAGACCTTTTGAAAGCAGTGCAACGTTTGTTGTAGATTTTGACCAATTCGTGGGAAGAGTCTCGACGAATTATTAGAAATGTATAGAAGTATTGTCAAATTTACACACACACACATATATATAATTGTATATTATTGACACACTTGATAAGAATTCAATTGAAAATTATATATTGGACAATGAAATTTGGAGGAGTTTGAAACTTGAAGGGATTGTCTAGTAGATGAGATGTTTTGTGTAGTCAAATTAATTAGGCCACCCAATTCCATCCCCACCACCTCCACCCCCATCCCCACGCTTACGCTTTCTTGAATTTTGAATATGTTATAAGGAACTTTCGCGAAGACGATAACTATTTTTTTTTTGCTACTTTATTCCTAATGAGTTGTAAATCACTAAAATATTCTAGATGTTCATTAAATTTAGAATTGCGGAATTCGTTTTTATAATAAAAAGCTGGCCACTCGTAATATAGACTTTTATGATACTATTAATGATTCGAGAATGAAATTATAGATAGTAGATGAAAAATGTCAAATGAACATAATGTTTAATACAAAGGACGACATCACACTCACAGTCGAGGTGTGGGTTCAGTGCCAATAAAACAATGCCGACCTCCCATGTAAGTGTATTGTGTCAATTAATATGTCAAACTTTGTGATAGTATAGCATGGTTGATGGTAGATAGATAACGTGCAGTCCAAATTTATTGCTGAATTGTTTAACAAAGCCCCATAAAAAGACGAAGTAAAGACGACACGCACAAATTCATAAGGTTTTTGAGTTAGTGATAAAATGAAAAATTGACCCCATTGAGTGGGTCCCACTTACATCAATATTTTATGTGGGTCCCGCTTATATCAAATTTTCATGTGTGCCCCACAATTCAGTGATGCATAACTATCTGCCATCTTTATTCTGTCTATCTTTAAATTTGGGTCTTTATGATATACGTTGACAGATAACTAGCAAACATATTATGAAAGGGATATTAAGCACATACGATTCTTCCAACTAATTCCAAACTATGATAAATAAAAATAAATAATGCGATAACTGAGTCACGCATTAGACTATTATTGTAATTACTTTTCATGTAATCAAATCCTACATTCAATGATAACTTTTTAACAATCAATACGGGTTGATATAGGACGTGGGATAAGGGATAAAAAAATTTCTCGCTCCAATCACTCTCCAAATTCATTTAAGCGATAAAAAATTGTGTAGTACGAATTCAAATTTAATATTTACGTAAACGTGTAAGCTTAAATATCATTACAAAGACAAGGCATCCACTGATTGAGCTCCTTAAATTCAATAAGACCGTCCAAATTGACATTGAATTTTCTATCCAATAACCATTATTTTATATTTGATCAATGATCTGTTCATTTTGTCTTGAAATACCTTATGATAACAACATCACGTTAAATAAAAATAAAACAAGTGAGGTTATTTTCACATGTGGTGGGCTCATTGAGCCATTAACTTTAATCAAGCCGAATGCACCGGACTATTGATTTCCATTTGGCACGTGATTGTGACATTTCAAATATCAAATTAAACATATCTTTCTCATAATTAAGAGAAGAAAGCCTATAAGGTATGTTCTTACCAACCAAGCCCCATTATCATGAAAATGTCGAACTTGCCGTTTCATCAAATGAGTAAAATAAAGAAAAAAAATATGATTATCTCAATTAATATACATTATGATTGTTTCATTGAATAAGGAAAAGATAAAGGTCAGAAAGTTTGATTCTTGGAAAACAGTCGGTCCATGTGCACATATAAAATTTTCAAGAATCCAAAAAAGTTTTGATTTGAAGAGGAAAAGATAAAGGAAGGTAATGGGAAATTCCTAGAAACCAGACCTTGGATCTCTTGTACCCATCATTACTTCCGACAAAACAAAAACAAAATTTAGATATAAAAAATAAAAAATAATAAAAATAATAAAAAGCCCATCAGAATTGAATAAAATAACATGCATGTGTCATTTATATTAATTAATTTTATGTAAACGCCCCCGGGGCACATCTTCAAGTGGTAAAAGGGGAGGGTGGAGAAATCCATCTTTGTTTGAAGCTGCCGCATCAAGAGTTCGAATCCTGAAATATGGATTTGGCTCTTGGGTAAGTACAAGTGTATAAGCAGCCTTTCACCTTGTACTCTTAGATGCATAATCTGCGATTTACCTCCCTCACGATACTCCAGGACAGAGGCGATGGAGGACCCTTAAGATTGGGGTTCAACCTTTAATTTTATGTAAACTATTCTAATAAGCAACTAATTAAACAAAATTATAACAAGGGACATGGATTTCAATATGGTACTTGAAATGCTTTAACAAAGTGTCAAAGTTGCTTTCACATCACCATACATGCCGGAAAAGTTAGGAAATTGTTTGGTCCATGCCTTTAATTATCTGTTTTGGAATCAAACTGCTAAAAAATCGACTTTTTCAGCACCTTCGCATCTCACCTAGCATGCCATGTTTTGTCAAGTACCGCCTTAACCATTTTTTCATAAAATTCAGATATCTACTTGATTCCCAATACAAGAGGCTAAGTGCTTCGTATACTGGATTGAAAATTACTGAAAGTGATAAAAGATGAGATGCGTGCGGACAATTTGTCTGTTATCCCGTTCAGTTCAATTTATCTCATAGTTGCAATAAGTTGTATTGTCAAGTACCGATCTAATTGAATTTATCATGAAACAATTTCAATATTTATCAGGTTACGTGAAGCTACTCATGTTTGGTATAATAAATTAAAACTCTGATCGAAAGAGACCAAAGATGAGAATCTTGGAAAAATTTAGTAATTTTCTATTTCGCTTCAATTCAATATATAATTTCAATAAGTTGCATTCTCAAGTACAGGCCTAACTATTGAATATGCCCACAAACCCAAAGCGAGAACCGTTTTAAAAGTGGGATGCCCGGCAAACGTCGGCCACGAAACTGCAACTCAATATATGCTGAACAACTTTCGGCTCTTTTTCCTTTTTGCTATCAAAATTAAAAAAGTAAACCAATGTCGACATTGTACCCTTTAATACATTTTTCTAGATAAGTGGTCATTGACTAGACGATATAATAAATAAGATATGACTAAAAAAGAAATGCAATTAAAGAATAAATAAATTACGTTAATTCGCTGAACAAATTTACAGTAAGCTAAATTTTCATCAAGAAAATGTACAAACCAAAATGTGTAATTACTGTTTTTTATGCTAATTTCTGACATGGCCTTTGATCAAGTAGACGTGTTAACGTGCAAAGTGGCAGTCATGGCAGATTTACATACGGGGCAGGATTGGACATGGGCGGTCCCACTCCCACAAATGTTGCAGAGGCAAAGATGCCTACATGGCAGCAACAACACACAGGATTCTCTCTCCCCACACCTCCGACACATCCTGCCACCGCATTCCGCCACCGTCCGACTCCCATATTCACCTTCGACTTCCCTACAATCACTGTTGCCACAGCAAGACTCAACGTCCTCCTCCACCGCACCTCCACCGCCAGCGGCACCGCCGGAGAGGCGCTCATCACTAACGTGTGCCAGTACTTGTTCGAGATTTGTACGCAGAGAGTTGGCCGTAGCCTCATTTGTTTGTGCTAAGTTACGCAATAATTGGTTTTCCATAAAAAGACTCTTCACTCTTTCTTGAAGAACCAAATTCATTTTCCCCATTCTCTGTAACTGATCTTCCTTTTCCTTTAGTTTAATCATCGCACCTTCTCCTATTGCCGCCATCAACAATCTTGCTTGTTGCTTTTGCTTCTCCTCCAGTTCCAATTTAATCCTTTTCGTCTGAAAATCACCATAAAATTAGATCAGAAAACTAAACGGTAAACCGCAAATTCATCCAAAACCCACAAATCTATAAAATTTATACCGATGCTTACATGTTGGGAAATAATGCTATCAATCTCCAACTGGTATTGCTGGATTTGAGGCAAAACTTCTTCACTGACAAAAGATGGAAACTGAGAAATGCTATTATTTTTCTGGGGTGCACCGAAATTAGATGTAGCATAAAACTGATTCATAGATTCTCTGGAGCGCTTTCTCGGAGCCGGCGGTAAGTTGTATGTGAGTCCACTATCCGTGTTCACAGAAGTTTTCGCCGGAGCCGAATCAAGAGTTTGATAAATCGGCAATAAAGTTTCCGGCATTGATGAGGGCAAAGGCACCGCCAATGATCCCATCTGGGTACTGTACGCAAAGGCGTTTCCCTGGTTGGAATTCACCAAATTTCTGCAGATATCAAAAACACTCATCAGAAAAAATAATTATAAGCGTGTTTGGTAAATGAATTCTCAAAACTGATTAAAAGTACCTATTGGGTATGAATTGTGAAGGAAAAAGATTGAAATTCCTTGCTTCGACGGCCATAAGAATCGAAGTTTTTTTTCTTCTACAGAATTATGTGGAGAGATGCATGCAAGGGAAAGAGAGGTGGCAAAGGCAGACTAGGGAAAATGAATGGGTTTGGGATTATTTAAGTACCTGGTTTAGTGTACTATACAGGTGGTCGTCAGAAAATAGGAAAGTCAAAGAATTCTAGAGAGAGAGAGAGGAGTAAAACCAAGAAATTTATTATTAGTTTTCGTGAATTGAGGAGATGAGGTATGAGTCTGACAGATTCATTTGTGTACTAAATAAAGAAAATAATGTTGAATTCCTAACGCAAAGAAAAAGGAAGTTAACAAACGCAAATCTTGTTGGCCTCGCATTAATTATACATTTGTATATATCTCCAACTTTCTAACCATAAATGACCCACAATTAAAGCGGCACTCACGGTTTTCCTATTGCTAACAGCAGACTTGTAGGGGCTATTGTGGAAATTAGGAATCGAGTAACCTTTTAGGTAGAGGTGTCTAAATGCGCCACATCATGATAAATGTTCGTGTTGGGGGACCGGCTTAGGACGTCTCGAGTAGAGATTTAATAAAGAATTATGTAATTTATAATTGTTCACTGTCGCAGTCGTTTTACGTAACATATATGTGATAGTAAGTGATTTGTTATATAAGGTAATAAAAAGCTATCACATTAATATATCAAATTACTAACCACCACATATATATCACATAGAGCGATTATAGCTATGAATAACTGCAAATATCATTACTCTTTTATAAATTAAAGACCAAGTTGGTGAGACTTCTTGAAGAATTAAAAGTTAATTCTAAGCATATTTAAATAATTTTTTTGCCTACTTTGGGTTTGTTTGGCAACATCTCTGTTTTGCTTTTGCTTCTTATAAAGAATTTTTTTTTGAGTAAGTGAACTCAGGCTAAACATTTTTAAAACTAACCCTTTATCTCATAATCAACTTTTGACTTTTCAAATACCCTACCAAACAAACCTTTTTTCTGATTATAAGAGTTTCTTGAAAAACTTGGCAACTTTCTAAATAAATTCTTCTACAAAAATTTTGCTAGATGTTGGATACTATTTGCGTGTTTTATTTCTTCTATTTTTGCTAATGTGGAGATAATTTGTATTTCAGCTCGAAATGTTTAAAAAATAATGTTATGGGTCGGGCTTCATTCCAGTAATTACATGAACTTGAGTGATTCCATTTATGAAATACACCTAGTGCAATGAGTTGTCCCATATATTGAAACATCTAAAATGACATACTCGACCCTCAAGCCTACTTGTGTAACTCTATCGATCCAAAGTCACTATATAGAGTGCTGGCTGAATTTGATCGAATATACAAAATTAAAGAAGCTTAAATTCCATTCATATGAAATTCTTAAGGTAATAACTAACTACAATTTTCTACAATACTTTTATATTTGTTTTACACTATAAGCAATATTTCCTTTTGATTATTTCTTTATACAAATATTCAAGATTTAGCAACTTCGAAGTGGTAGATATTGTGGTAATGCAAGTAATACATACCAAATGTGAGCTTTATATCAGGAGCAAAACATGAATATTGTAAGTTTAATTCAGTACCATCACACGTGCTTTCAACGTGTAAAAATTGTAAGCTTGAATTACGGGGGTTTAACACAACGAGTATATTGGATATGTTTCATACCCAAAATAATGATACTTAAGTAATCGTATTAATATAATTTATAAAATAATTCAAAGTCAAATATAAATTCAGTTTTATGTTCATAACTAAAATTCATTATTATTATTCATGAGATTATCTTTTCCTTATAAATTGATTTACAAATTTATTAAACGAAAACTTGGTCAATCGTAGTGAATGTAGCAGGGAAAGAGTCCATTCAAATGTGACACACGTAACACGTGTGTGGTGGCTCATATATAAACAAATTGATATTTAAATATAGATTTAGATTGCCACGTTGTGGACCGGATTCACTAATTGGGTCGGACCCACTGCATCCCGTTTCATTTGTAGTTTCCCCGTTTCGTTATCTTGTCCCCATACCTTAGCAAGTGGTATTCTGCACGGACAACCTTTTATGCGTTACAAATAATTGTGTGCACGAAAAGAATAATTATAAGACATTAATCTATTTAATTAATTATTACGCTGATGCTAATTATATTACAATGTATTCATTCCGATTAGAATATCAAAGATAAATATTGAACATGAAAAAAAGACCAAAAATGATACGATCTGATCTCTACATAGCCTGAAATAGAATTTAAGGGGTGATTTCGTAATTCTTTATATATGAAAAAGTATTGTTAAGTATTCCATATTCTATTCTCATTGAGGTCGAACATAATCTTGTTCTCGATCTATAATTATCCATTTAGTGAGGAAGGACTGGTGATTATCCATAGACATTAATCTATTTAATTAATTATTACACTGATGCTAATTATATTACAATGTATTCATTCCGATTAGAATATAAAAGATAAATATTGAACATGAAAGAAAGACTAAAAATGATACGATCTGATCTCTACATAACCTGAAACAGAATTTAAGGCGTGCTTTCGTAATTCTTTATCTATGAAAAAGTATTGTTAAGTATTCCGTATTCTATTCTCATTGAGGTCGAACATAATCTTGTTCTCGATCTATAATTAGCCATTTAGCGAGGAAAGACTAGTGGTTATCCATAGACATGTACCAAAGTACAACCATTAGTTTGTATGGTTGCATGTGACGTGTAAATGTGCAATATTAGGTTTGTCGAAGCAGCATCTTTAGGTGGCAACAGTGTAAAAAGAGCATCATTTTTACTTTTTCTTTTTTCAAGCGGAAAAGCACTATTTGATCTTGTAAGTGAATATTATTCCCATAGCTTTAAGTTAGTCTCATTTTCTATTATAAGCAATTATTCTTTAAATGCTTTTCTGTAATAATTATATTTTAACCTGCAGAGAAAATTGATTGCTCTGTTGATAAAGGTAGGTCAGCTCTAAACATTATTAATGAATATGTTGGCCTCCGATCATTCAATTCGGATTAAAGACACCCCTTGAACATGACCCATCCATGACATTGTTTGCCACGTGTCCATCTTGAAGGATTAGTTCGCCCACAACAGATGAGTTCAGCCCTTTACTTAATCGAGCTTATTTGACGAGGTTAGCTAAATGAATGCTTAAGAAGATACTCAACTCTAATTGAACAACAATCATTCAACATCAAAGGATTTGTCTTCCAACCATCCATGATCGTCAATGGATAATAAGATAATGTAAGTAGACGACAAAACCTACAACCCAAGTAATCATTATGAAACCATAGTAGACCTGACCCATCAATCGAAAATTATTAATGTGATAAGTGGTATAATAATCGAGATCAACTTCTTTATTTAGAAATTACTGAAGTATCCGATAATTGTAATTTCTTCTTTATATATAAAGGGTAATCACTTTTCATAGGGCATTCAAAATAAAAATTACATCTTATTAATACATTTTACATTTTCATACCTCTTTTCGAGTTCAAATATAGTTTAGATTCCAACCTCACCACTTTCTCGACTCTTTATAATTTCTTCTACGTTGAGTCGAAAGGTGCTACGTCACGCTTTGAAGCCAATATTAAATTTAAAAAAAATATTTAGTGTACTGTTTCAATTATAATTGTGACGATAAAAACGATTGATGGGCTTCGTTCCCTAATCTCCAATGATTCCAAAACAGACCACGAGGGTGTCTTCTTGTAGCACTTCCACACTAGCTAAAATCAAGTTTTAAATGAGAGACAACGTGTAACAAATTAATTTGTTTATTACCTGAATCTATATTTATTTATTGTCAGATCAAAATTCAATTTTAATTTTATATGAGGTCTAGATGAGAATTGAAAAAAGCAATATCACCTCAATCAAGGGCATTAAAAGGGGCCAATTTTTTGGTGGCACCTAACTAATGATATCGACCCCAAGATAAACGTTGCTCGTCATAAGTTACTATTACTTATAATTATGCCAAAATAATCAATTTTAGACTTGCACAAGATCCATTTTGATTTTCTCTGAATTCCACTCTGTCTTATCGTGAGAATCATTTCAAGATTGATGATGGTCCAAACAATTCCCACTAGCACTAAATGAACCACAATTGTCGAATAAAAGTTAAAATATCCCTTAAAAGAAGCTGCTTAATTAAGCAACGCCATTAAAGTATAATATCACGGGTTGGTTCTTCCTAACATTGATTAGGCTTAAAGTGAACGGGGCAGGAATATTATGACATCTATTTTCTTTGTTAGCACATCTCTATTACTTAGTCAAATAAACAATAAAATATCCATTACAAATTTGAAGGTATACCTATTTTTCCTTTTATTTTATTTTTGTGATAGGATAGGCAAAGCATAAAACGTGTTTTGACTCGGATTATTTGTCACGTCACGATATAGTTTAAGTGAAACAATAGAATTCAATATCAAAATCTGTGTATTTCTCAAATAAATTAACGGTTCAAACATTTTCTATTCGAAAAGTAAATTCGACAATTTTTTTTTTTAATTGATAGCTTTAAATAAAATACCATTAAAAAATCGTGAATGTTATTGACTTGTACGCAGTATGTAGATTTAGTCATAACGAAAATAAAAATATTGTGGAAATGTAATCAAATTGAAAAGAAAAATTCATAAGAAGTTTAATGTTGAATGGCCTCTCTTAGAACTTCAAAAGAAATTTCTAAATCCAAATAATTCAACCAAAACCAAGGAAAAATCGACATGGCTTTGTACAACGTATTGCGGTTTGATTGGATGAGATTATAATTAGGTGATTGTTGAATAGATTAGTTGCCATTTTTATTATTTTAAATACAAAAAATAATAATTATTATTATTATTATTTCCTTGTCTTTTATGTATGTTTTCTTAGCTTGTTAATCTTGACGTTTAAACTTCACATTTTGATATTTATTCATGTAAATATTGACAAACAATAGCCGGCTAAAATCGTACTTCTAGATTACGCATACTACCTAAAATGGAAATTTCTATTGTTCTCAATAACAATATAAACTAGACTTCTAAAAATGGATTTATATTTTAAATTCAAAATTTTTTTTTGAAGATTGAAATTGTCTGGTAGGGGTGGAGTAAATTTATGAAGGAAAATCCCTATGCTATTTATCCCTTTGATAATTCATATTGTCCTCATC